TTGACACGCGAGTGAAGGTGGGAGACCTAGCGTTATTTGTGCCAGCCAGTAACTCATGGCATCAGAGATGCATTACCTTTGTAGAAGAGTCTGTTACAGTTTAACCCAAACTTTCATCAATGTTTTTGAACGGACTTTTTATTTTCTTAATTTTGAAAAAATAAACACCACATGTGGTAATTCGTTTGAAAGCTCTTAAAATTCCCTTTCGTTTCAATAAAAAATCAAACAAAATCATTGAAAAAAAGTTTATCTTTTCCTCACAAAATTCAAACTATCTCGGATATGTAATCATAGAATGTTTCGAGTGACATTTGGTTGGAATCGTCGCGTTAACTGTGTGGCACACAGAATTAAAAACATATTGAGAATCATTTGAAAAGAATTTTGAAATGCACAAGTGCCGATACTGTAACGCATACCCTCGTGTCTATCTCCTCGCTGCTCCCCAATACCCTCGTGTCTATCTCCTCGCTGCTCCCCAATACTCAGGGGTCTAGTTCCCGGCTTCTGAGAGCCAGCCAAAACTTCTGGAGGCTATTTACATATATGTCAACAGCAAATGATGGATAGAATACAAAGACTGCGAAATACCCTAGCCATCCGCGGAATGGTAACATTACTCTGTTCAAAACAGACAGATTGTATCGAGGGATAATGGGATAGATTAATTGGCAAGCTCTTCTCTGCTATGTCAAATTGCTGCATTTTACATAATTGAAACACGTTCCCTGTATTAATACACCAGAGTAGTACATAGATTTATCGATTATTGGGGATATATATCTTAAAATTAAGTGAAAAAACACGTGCTTCCAGATTAATTCAAAGGGTTTAACTTGAAGGGACAAAATCGTACGTTGACATATTCAAGGCAATTTGGACAAGTAACATATGTAACTGTTTTAATTTATAAATATAATAAAATAGCGTTTCATCAAAGAAATCATAACAGATAAAATCACAAGACTTACTCATTATAACTGTGTATAGAGCAATCAAACATCTATTACTGTTGGGAATTTATTTTTTATAAATTGTTTGATAAATAAGCAGTCAAAGAAAGAATTTCATTGATGCTCCATGCAAAATTTGCTGGTGATATTATCACAATAGCCAACTAGCTAAAACTCAAAGCAATTGTGCCTGGCACTATGAATGCGATACTCCTGTGGCTCACAGATTTGGTACTGTTAAGTGAGTATATCCGGGATAAACGCTATAAACTTCATACAAATTACCCCCAGATCAAAGTGCCCGGGAGTTGGGATATTGCGCCAGATAAAGAGAAGTTTATAATCTAAAAATGCCAAATTGTGTTGACACTCGTTCAGGCTGAAACATGCATAATGTGAATACAGGTTGGATACGACCTTAACATATTAACACGAGTTGGTCTGTATTTGTAACGCCTAGCCACCAAACTGTCAACAATATTACAACATGCTGTAATAATTACAATTGATTTCCACAAACTTTTCCAAATTTCGTAAAGAATAAAGTTAAAAAATAACAATGATTTGTTTTAAACTGATTTCTTGTGATGAAAATGTATGCTTCGAAAGTACAGATGTTTAGAATATGTGATGAGGAAAACACATTGTACTGTTTTATTTCGTTATATTTCCGATTAATAATATTTAATAATTTAATAACCATTTCATTAAAGCTGTATTCGATCACATGCGACATGATAAACGTTTGCCTCCTAGTTAGATTCTACCCCAAGCGAGTTAAGTTGCTGTCTCCCATTCACACGAGCCAATGTTGGTAGTTGGACGTGCAAGTTAAGTTGCCTGTTTCTGCTAGATATTCACACGAGCCAATGTTGGTTGCTAGACATACACGTCTGATGATGAACATGTACTGTGGTAGTCAGACGTGCAAGCTGTCTGTCTCGACTAGAGGGACACTGACAGGGGCCAGGTAGATAGTCTGGTAGCTAGACGTGCGAGACTTTCCCCCAAATACCACCATCATGGGATCTTGCGTCTTAAAGCATTTGAAACTTATCACTCCGGTTAATTGTACCCTACCGGATACCACAAGAGGCTGCGTGACAGCGTTCCGCGCACCCAACCACGCTATCATTTTTAGATAGTCTGGCTAATCGGGGCTGTTGAGGAGGTAATCCTCTCTTCAAGGGTATCACCAAACAAATTAACTCGTGTTTAGACACTTGAACGGCACGACCGGCTTCGATTGGCGACTCGGTTGACACTCTGAGAGTCGTAAACACAAGTTGAAATGACGTGTGTCGTGCGTTGGAGACTCGACACAGACAATAAGGCAGGGATACTTTCACTTAAAACACTGCCCCCATTCCGTCCATTGTTTAATCGTGTAATTGTATATGTTTTTTTCGTCAAAACGCTAAGGAGGTATGTTTGAAATATCATGGCCTGTTATCTCGGTATTTTTCAACACAATGTCCTCTTTTGTAGGTAGTCATTTTAAAATGCATTCAGTGAACTTTTGCCGTGAAGGTAACGAGACTGACAATACGATCCGGCTCTTAGACGTACTTAACGGCGAAAAACGTGTCCATCTTAGCTTTAGGCATTTCCAAACACGACTCGGGGACACAGTGTGTACATTCAGCATGTAAACTATGCACTACAGATGTGCAAATTGCTCTCATTGGCATTATAGCCCTGAAAGCATTTTTAAATGGATGTTATCATCTACATGTCAACATATTGGAACGGATAGCGTGCTTCTCGACGCCAAGGGAGGTAACTCTAAACGGAAGGGCAACAATCAGGTGTCGACAGACAGGGGATTCTGTGTAGGCTGGAACCCGTCCTCCGCCCTCCTCGCGTGTCAAGCCTGGAGATATTTTTCAACAATGGGAACAAAGGGTCGGAAATGTTGCTAGTGACGATCATTCGCGTCTTGACGTATTTCAGTCCACCAACACTCTACTAACACTTACATACAATCTACTAACACTTACATAAACGTGCTAACATCTGATGAAAGAGCAAGCATACACTCCGAAACGTCGTGTTATTCATAATAAAGAAATTGACATCCATAAATCTTGCTTTTCTTGTGGTAAAACTGTGTTCATGTATTTGAAAAACGCACCATCGTGTTGTATAAGTAAAACGTACAATCAGACTGATCACAAAGATTATATTTGAATTGCAAATTAGATACATTTTAGCCTAAATTCCGCTTTATAGATACCTTACACGAAACTAGCAATACACATTTCCTTTTGTCTTTTTGCTTTGACTTTTTAGTCACTTTAAAGTGTACCTTTCGCATGTTTACAGATTTTGTTATTTTCTTTTAATTGACGTCACAGGACATATGGAGAAGCTCATAGTGTATATATCAACATATATATCAACGGAGTGAGGTTCTCCGTACATCGTATATCTTAACAACATTATTTCCAACAACCCCCGTTGGGCAGGAAGTCACATAGCGTTTGATTGACGTATTGCAATCTAACACAGGTGTAGTGTAATTGACAATGTCATTGGTCAAGGGTAGCCTAGTAAATTACCTCACGTATCAACATGTCGGACTGTCGTGGCCATCAACTGATGGCTTTCTCAGTTATCGACATATCAATCTGTCTGTCGGTCGACACTTCACCTTTCAAGGTGCCAACTTACAGGTACGTCGGACAGGTAACACCAATCACCCTTATGTTGACTTATCAGAGACTCTAGGGTGTCAACGCCGGGGAAACAGCATTGAACTGTCTACGTGAAACAACTCAATAAAACAACAATCTTCAGACCGTAATTGCGGAATCGGGTGTCTGTCTAGCGCTGTGACTGCTCTGTGTATATGTATACTCCCGGTGTTGTGTTTAAACCTCACACACCAATCTCGGGAGGCGGTCATTTATTTCACACCCATTGTTCTCAATGAACGAGTGCGACTTTTTGTTTCCACAACCGAGCGCTGGCGAGGTGAATTTCTCAACGTCGATCCTTTGTTAGATGTTGACAAATTTAGACAAATTTACTTGTAGATACAATTGTTGATTCCTTAAGGAATTTACTCGAACAATGAAGGTACGGCTGTAGCATTTTACTTTGATAATCAGATAAACCTGAGCGCGATTTGTCCTTGGTTCAGGTGACGTAAGCATGTGGTACGTTACTGGAGTTGAAGCTTCAGTGGGTTGTATTAACTGATACTGACCGTGTGTCATACACATAACACCACTGGCTTATTAAAATACAATATTTCATCAACTGTCCTCCTCGGTATGTTTCTACTGTTCTTTTAACGTGATGTATTTTGTAATCTTAATCTGTTAGTTGATGATTGGTGTTTTTTAACAAGGGGTATTTTTGTAGTGTTAAACTGTTAGTGAGGTTTGGTCATTTGGGTCGGGTAAACTTATATATTTAAACTGTACCTAACAAAACGCGTGTCGAGAACCCCAGTGCTCAAACCTCCTCGCCCCACAAGCACTAATGCGGCATTAAACCCCCAGCACTCCACAATAGCACGGCAAACTTCCTATTTTTCATTCAACAGACAACGCAAATCTCGACGAGTCCCCTTCTATGGGTCATAAACGTGACTGTACGAGATCTTGTTAAAGCACGCTCTATCGTCTCAACCTCATGTTTCTCTACTTTCCCTCAATAACGAGTTGCATTTGTAATTTCTCTGTCGTACAATGGGGAACATTTGGTAAATATATCTGTACCCGTGGTGCATTTCAGATCTAAACTAGACATCCATATGTCGTTATGTCTTTCAAAGAACAAAGCATTAATAAAAAATACAGTTTCGAAAAAAAACACATTTGAGTCAAAAAAGCTAAAAAAAACACCTGTCTACTCATTGGTTAAAGGATCATGAATATTCATGTAACCTAGCTCTGATGTTATGGTGACGCGTGTACATGGATGTCTACCAAAACCTTGGTGTTGTTATTTTTTAATGTGGTCATTTGGTTTAAAGTGCTAATTAAGTCATGTAACTTTTCCGGAAATACTGCGCAAGCGCAAACATCTACTTACCCTTCTTCCGGCTTCGTTGTTATGGAGATTCATGAGCGCACGTGCTGGGTTTTTCTGTTTGCGTTTCTTGCCTTTTTCCCTTGCGTCCACGAAAGCCTTAGAGAAAGCCGTTCCATAGGCAATATTATGAGAACACCCTGACCACTCAAACCCCTCGGGGCTCCAGCCCCTCACCGTCCGGTCACACCCACATTTCTGCAACTGACCGCTACTGCATGCACGTGTAACAGCGTGCGCCACCCCGGCAGATGATATTGCATGTACAAACGCGGCTTCCCTTGTACCTGAAATATAAAAAAAAAAATTCTCAATTTCTGAGATATTCTAAAATAGTTATTCTGAAACATGGAAAGAATAAATAGTTCAATATAAATAGAAACCTGAAAATATTTTTAAAAAATACAGGCAAATCAAACTGCCTTAAGATGGCCTAAAAAGTCCTCTGATTAATGCTACGTGCTGGTTAAAACGGACATAAATATATTATTTGTAATAACGAAAAAAGTATAATTATTGTATTATAGAATCCCGTTTTCACATTGCATTAGATGGCGAGTTGACATTTAATCAGGAATCGTGTAGTGGGGATTGTCATTCAGTTAGCCTGGCAGTATCTTGCTGTCCACTTTCTCAGTGAACGATACGTGTATCAAGTTTAGGAAAACTAGTGGTCAGGACGTTCGTCTAGCACTGACAAATTCCTTTAAGTCACAAATTTGTTATTTGCATTTAACTGGAAAGGTTGCGACTGTAAAAATAGGCCATTCCCTCCATAGGTTTTCGTACCGAAAGCAAGAAATGGGTGGTAGTCTTGGAACCCTAATTGATAATGCAAAGGTCAGCCAAGGTGAGAGTTATCTACTAACGAACCCAGCTGATACGTGAATAGTCATTATTCAATTATTCGGCGTGTAAACCTGTCGGCGTTTGAAAATCTCTCGGTGTCTACTGTTTAGGTACATTGACTTCATTGTCTATATGATACATCATTCAACACCAGCCTTGTTAGATCCGCAGTGTACCACAGCATAGCTCGTGATGCTGGATAATCTAAAAGCTCTCGTTTTCTCTGAATTATGTGAACCGCACAGAAACGGTAGTTGTAGTTTACAGCGGTCGTTATGTCGTCTTAAATGACGCCGAAACTAACGCAGGTGCACGTGCCATAAATTGGTGGAAATAAAGTTTTAAGTAGGTCTTATTTTATTGTTTAATCCTGTTAGTTCTGAATCCGGAAGCGACGGGCTATCTCAACAGTGTAATTTTTCAATGACAACAGCTCTTTTGCTGTCGGTGTAATCTCTAATATCAGACGGGAGCCTACTCGGAATTTGTGTAGAACCAATCCATGTCGGTTCTCATTTGGAAGAGGTTCCCCGAGATTAGCAGTAACGAGGAAAAGAAAGGCGGGTGCAAACATTCTTCCCTTCGCCATTTTTATTGCTTGTTTAAGATGGAAAATAGTTAACATTTCTCACTTTAGTTTCCTATTAATTGCTTCTAAACTACATGAATACGTCAGCTCATTGTCCATGTATGCATCGACAGACATTTCGTCTATGACACTAGCTAGATAGCATCGGATCCGTGTGAAATTAGGCCGTAACACTTATCCGAATTTCATTGATAGCTTATAACATCGTGAGATTGTAGCGCAGCCTATTTAACAAGGTCCCGCTTGTATCTGATACTGGATAATTGCGCTGCACGGAGCAGGACAAGCACAAAGAGACAGTAACTCTGTTTTAATCATGTGAATCCCTGCCCACCAGATTAACTACTCTAACCAATACTGGAACAATCGACGGTTAGCAATAACCTGATGTTAAGAGTCCAAAACAATCATTAAACCTTTCTTATGTCATCCATGAAAGTAACTTTAAAGTCTAAATGACACGTTTCGATTTAGCCTAGTCCATATCAACATTAACGAGTGTGGCGTCCTATTATACAATATATACTACCATTGTTGAACGAAAAATATATTCATATGTTACATTACCTTGTTTTAAAATAACATTCCCAAAGAGTCTTTTAGAGTCTGTTGTTGAGCAGTTCCAGCGTCGGTTTTCAAACTGAAACTGGCATTCTTCTATGGCTCTCTTTGCTCCAACTTTCACACTTTCCATAAGTTCAACATTTCGTTTACAAAGTTTCTTTTGTCTTTTTACTAGTCCTGCTAAAGAGTCACAACTTTCTTCATTCTGTATTGTGGTTGTTGACGACATCAGGGCACTGAAACAGGAAGTGAAATCGTTATCATATATGGCAGTATGACGTCATCCTCGATGACGTATGACAGAATATGGCGTTACTACACTGGCCGAGGAATGGCCGTATCAGACATGACACATTGTGTCAAGGAATATTTGTCTGAAGTAGTTGTGTTTGTATCCATGTCAATACCCTTGCAGCGTGGACTTTATCGTCCTATTAATGACAACGTGACGGTGATGAAGATTATGCCGACTTTGACGAAGTTGATGTCGACATGACTCGGTCAATACTCCAAGAGAAAATTAACCGTCAAGAATTGTGCACATGATTCAACACAAACAAGACAATTAGATTCGTTTGGCTGCCAGTCGGGACACACCTAGACGTCAGAGTGATTCCATTAAACATACGTTCATTTCGACAAACAAAGCGATATACTGAGATACCAGAAAGTTATTTAACACACACTGCTCCTATCCGTTTAACAAAATCAGAACTACAGGCACCAAGCCTTGCTGCTTCTGTTCGCTGTTATTCGGCCTAACCGAGCCCTTTGATGTGAGTTTCGTCCCGCTTGCAGTTCTATCGCTCATATAACAGAAAGCATATGATAGGCGTTCAGCAGAGGAAGAAATACAGTCGAGATTGTATCTGCAGTTTGCGGATCAGTTTCAAAGATGTACATTTCCATTATATGTACATTGCTGTCAGTCAGGACAGGTACATGTACACAGCGGCGGAAAGTGGGTCTGGCTGCTGTCGATAAAGATTGCGTGACATGGTTTTCTCTTAATTATAGATCACAATAAATGGTACAGACATGCCCTGTTTTACCACGTGTGGCTATGTAGATCACCGTGTACATCCTCAGTATCGGCAATATCACTTACAGTATCGGCGTGTTGGGGCGTCAGGTTTTAATTATGATGACAGGTAACAGCTACACACGTGTTTCAATGTGTAACGGTTGGTTATGGGAATATATCAAATATAGACAAAGAACACCACAGGTAAAAATGCCAATTCTTAGTCATTCTTTGAATTCATTCACAAAGTGCTCCTCCCTATACGTGCGACAAATACCATTACATAGATACAGCCGATGACGTGTACATGAACAGATAGTAATCGGGCCAGGCTTAAAAGGATTCAAACGCTTTGATATACAAACATTTAAGAGGGTAAGGAGAGGGTCCATCTCAACGCCAGGTCTTCCATTCATGCCATACCACCCTCAAGCAAACGCCCTCCAATCGCTCGAGGCCCTGCATTATATAGTGCCTGTTCTACCTACTCTACTGTCTCGCAAAGTGGATATCAGTGCTCTCGAGTCGGCCATTATAATCCAAACCTACTTAACCCAAGCTTTCAGCCTTAAACACCCCCGAACCATTGCCCTACCCAACAAAACAAAGGGCACTGCGTAAGACTAATTTGTGGGGACATTATCGATGCTGTACCCGATATTGAATCTCCATCCTCCTTCAGGAGCCGCTTAAATGATCGCTTTTAATGTGTATGCAATGTGTTCCTGTTAAAGTATAAAGATATACACATGTATGCTATAAGCAGGCGAAACGATTGTATGTATAATGCTACAAAGTTTTATCTCACCACTGAGAAGGTGACAAGTGATTATAGTATAGGGGCGAATATTAACAATTATCACAATAAAGTGATCGATTGAGACGTTCGCAAATTTGCACAGTGTATTTGAAGGGCCTTATATATTTTTATAAACTTTAGTTCTGGAATTACAATTACATTTATCGTAATACTTCACAAAATGAATTATTTGATGAAAAGATTACATTGGTTCACATGCGTGGCTCAACTACCATTGCGACAAGCTTTTGTTGAGGATTATCGAGGATTTTCATACTTCACTCTTGTTACAATCTACAACCCGTAAACACAAGTATTGGCAATATTCATCAAATTTCGAGATTTAAGATGTATGATTCTGGATTACAAGGATACACATTTCACATAAACAAGACGACAATTTACAATATTTTATCTATAACCCTTTGTCCTCAAGCTCCACATGTAACACATTTCAAACTGTCACTCATAATTTCTAGCAGATAATCCTTCAGCTAACAGTGAAACCCTTTGGGCGCCCGGTGATATATGCTTAAGCATGGTGGTATAGCGTTCCAGGGATGGACGTCAGGCTTTGTGTTAGGGTTCCGTAGGGTCAATTCCTAATTCGTAACAACCGAGGATGACATCTAAGCCCTCATATCACAAAGAGCCACACCGCTCAGGACCAGAATGCTTTGTCATGAATTGGAGAATATCTTAAACATTCTGAACATGTGACGTCGCTGACTAAACTATATTTATTTCACAGTATTGCACGATTTGGAAGCATTCTTGCATTATCATGCGTTGCGGGAATGATTAAAGACTGTGTCCTCTTGAATCCTTTAAGCCCGCTTGTGTAATGCGATTGTTGTCAATGTAACCTCCAACTATTTACCTTAGTTTCGTACAAATCGCCTAAGACGGTAAAAACGTCACCATTTCTGTGGAACTTTAGAAGAGTCATTCGGTCAAAATATTTGAGAAAATTCGCCTGTATCGATATATCAAGGGAAATAAAATCTACTTTGTACGCAACTAACTGGAGCCTGTGTGGATGAATGTATGATATTTACTTGTTCGCGGCGCAAGCAACATACTTAACATTCTTCTAATTTTGTAAATAATTTCACGTCTTCCGAAATTTTCTACACATGAGTTAGTTAACACAGAGCGTAATAATAAGCAGAATGCTTTAGAGTCAGCGTCAGTGACTGTTAACCTTGTCGAGATGGCGCTCTGCCACCGGGAAGCTAGTAAACACCACCGCCACAAGTTGACTTGATGGGAGTCGTGTGGCTATTTCCATGTGTAGGTCAGAGACTAGCATGTTATCGTAAATTTCACTTGTACCTTTCCTCACGTTTTCTAAGGTGGAACAGGGCCATGAAATCGACAACAGGCACACAGGCTCGCGAGCAAGAAGAGAAAACTCTTCGAGTAAAACTTGGGAAGGAGTATACACTGTACATATATTGTAGGAAACTAAAAAGATATTATACATAAACTATAATTTTAAATAATGTTTCGTCTGGTTAGATTGGATCATTGTGTTTAGTCTACAAGGAACGTTGTCTTGAACAACATGGAGTAGGCAGAGAATGACATGAAAATAACAACTGCAGTTGTTGACACTGTTCAACATTATTCTTGCAAAGAGTTGTTTTTTTTAATAACATATTTCTTTAAGATATTTTGTATTGTTTACGATATATTTCCCAACAATACATATATGGTCGTCTCAAGTACCTCATAACCATAAACAGTGTCATCACTTGCATGTTAATTACAGTGTAGAACAGACACTTCAAGTAAATATGGTAGCAATTGTCCTGTTTACGTCATCATATTAACACGCATGTGACAGTGGACGTGTACACAAAGAAACACAAGCACGGGACAATAACCATAAACAGCCCATACTCCAATACAGCATCATGTCAACTATGTAGAATATGTCAATTTCTTACGTATGTGTAAATTATCGGGAATGTGAGAGACAGCCATGTTGCAATCATGTTTATTGCAAATGGTTATGCGACACTTGTATACCACTTTAGTATCTTTAGAAAACAGCCGTTCCCGAGACAATGGCGAGTGTGATAGTACAGGTACCGCTCTCGGGCCTTTGTGAAATAGATGGGTTTAATTGACATGGTCCGCCTGTTCTCTGTGTGATGCAATGTGATATCGACATCGCTGTGAAGATGTACTTGACAGATAAATGTCAATTAACATATTTCCCTTACCTGTGTACATTAAGAATCGCACTTCAAAGTGTAGTAAATATATTAGGCAATGCACTTATCTCTAATTGAACATTTATATATAGAACGGAGGTAAATCGGTCCAATAGTATACCTGAAAAAGTGTATCCTTCATACAAAAATAACCTCCCATCCTTTAATGTTAATTGTACATGTTACTACTTCAGTTCCTTGAATTTATTGAATTATTTTCAAGTGGGCCTCAGACAAGTTTGCCTTAGTTAATTTTAACTATCATTTCCATTTATTTCATACGGATCCTCTGAATGTAACATATAGAATGGAATAAAACCGAAACAAGAACTCGTATGGAAAGGAAGGGTCAACTGCCGATTATGGACTGGTCTGGAATTATCCAGAGAGGTCGTTGTCGTAAGATGGGGGTGGTCTTCACGTTCCTGCTGTGGGAAGAGTAAATATGAAGATAAAACGGATCAGAGGCATTGAGCTCTGTTTGGCGGATAGTCGTTTTCCCAACTCCCTGTGTCTGTCAAGGTTTAGTTAAAGGGAGCATTGTGGCTTTATTTGCACGGGGATTTCAACTTAATAATCTTGTATTAATACTGGAGCTGAGAAGCTACACCAACCTGCACTTGATAACCTTTACATGTGTGTACTGCTGGAATAGTGTTTAACACAAATTGTGAAAATCTGCTTCGTAAGTGCAAAATATGTGGATCAACACAATATTTTTGTGAATATTATTCTTTAGGAATTTGACTTGTTTGAGGTTTGCCTTGGTCCGAATTAAAGAATAATGGTAATTTAACCAAAAGCTTAAATGTGGTGAAAGTGGTACATAAGTATGTTTGAACTAGAAGACTCGGGTGTAGGGTTCAATAACTTCCATTGTCGATGCTAATTACCTGGAGCTTGCCTATGTCGATGCTGAGTTGCAATAAATTCTAAGATCAAGCTCCTTATTTGGACATTTTAAATTGAATAATAACGAGACAAACCTGAAAGTTAGTTATCCATTTGCTGTAAAAGTATGGTGCCTTTTAATTAGAGCTCACACATGTGTTAGTGTAGGAAACCGAATTTCCACATCAGTAAAAGACATGCTTGAAGGAGCTGGCCGCGCCAGACATAGACTTGACAGACAATGAAACAGACATGTTGTATATATCAAGCAGCGATGTACATTTCGGAAGTGGGTTCTAACTTTTTCTCGAGTGTCTTCAGTTCTTCAGCTTTGTTAAATTTCATTTGAAACAGTATTTGCGCGTTGGTTGATGAGGATTTTCTTATTTATCGTGACAGTCTTTTCCTGACCTAGAGTAAACGAAGTTTAAACTGACATTTTAGGACAAATTCCCGAGTCAATAACCATCCACGTGATTAATCAGAGGGGGTGTCTTTTAGACAGGTTTTGACATTTGCGTGATCAAAATAAGATTTAGTGGAAATGAATAAAACCAACCTTTTTACACGTTTTCCTCCCGAGATGTTTACAAAACATCCATAACGTTCTTTCCCCTTTCCCCCAAGCTCCACCCAAAAACGCCCCTGCCCACACAAGATGACACATTACCGGAATTCTTCCCACCCTCACAACTCAGGACACCCACCCCTACCTAATTTAGCCGCTTCCTCCGACAATTCGACGTGATTCACTCAAAGTGAAATAGATTACAGCACGTGACTCTCGCGACTAATTGATGCGAATAGCACATGTCACTCATCCCAAGATTGCAATGACTTCGGCGTGTTGAGTCTTTACCCTGAATAACATTATTTCCACTATGTTTTATCTGAGAAGGCCAAATCTATTTTATGTCCATTTTTTATCTTGATAGATGAAAAGTAAATAAAGATCGTTGCCCAATGTCATTAGATCAAAGTCTTGGATGGAACAAATCAGTGTGATCTGGGCATATGCATGTGTAACAGGCGCTCTAGCGAACATGCTATCAACTATTTTTACGTTATATGCTGATTGACGTTTCCTGTACAAACTTATAAATAATACAAAAATGAGAGGCACTTATCCGAAGCGAATCTTGTATCTAACCTTTTTGAAATTACATGTCGAATCTTTAAGAGCAGCTGCTAAAATAAGATAACTTTCGTCAATGAATGCGGTTTGTGCGGTTTGTTCATTTATGAACCTATGTGATCAGCAACCGTTTATATAGACAACAATTCATAAAATATTCAGCGTATTCTACACAAGCATGGCGATACCTACCATACCTCCCCCAAGCGGGGGTTATTGATTTTCATTGATATGATGAAATAATAACATTATCACTAATTGAGACATATAATTGATTTGGTCTTAAACAACGTGTCATTTAAACAATGTGAGTCTGTAGACTAGAGGGATTGCAATGTAATGGACATTCCAGTTTACGTAAATCTCCTCCTTGTCACGCGGACAAAATTAACTGTCATGTGGTAGAGTTTTTATGAATACCCTGTCTTGACTCGAAAACGGCAAGGTGCGTTAATCCTTCGAGCTGTCACAACTCTATAGCGAGCAGACAATCCGTCGGCTATTGAACTTGTGTAGACAGCTACTAACTAGGCCTAATTACCCAATTGATGACAGAATAGCTCAGTCCACGCCTAATTTGTTTAGGTATTGTCTAATTAGAAGTTGTTACTGTCTTGTTAAGTAGTTAATGTCTATCGAATGAATGAATGAATGAATGGTACTGTCTTGTTAAGTAGTTAATGTCTATCGAATGAATGAATGAATGAATGAATGAATGAATGAATGAATGAATGAATGAATGAATGAATGAATGAATGAATGAATGAATGAATGAATGAATGAATGAATGAATGAATGAAGTCAAAGTTGATAAATGTTTCTCCCTCTTGTCTATGTCAGCTGAAATGTGCACCCATCATCCGATGTGACAGGTCTACATGCGATTAAGCATATTACACCCAGGAGAGGATGATAACATCAACTCTCTGACATGGGCTGCACATAAAACCAATTCCGAATACAAGCGCCAGAGTCAAATTACACTCACCCCCTTTCAGTTCCTCCCCTATGTTTATTTATGATTGTGTCACGTTTGATAACCCAAGACGATAAACCTTACTTTTTCTTACTTTAAAAAAAGTATATCTTTTCAACAAGTTTACACCTCTACTACGCTGAGAGTTTAATCTCAGGGTTGTGATTAATGTTTCTAGGGATAGTTCCGTGATATGTGGAGGATGTGCATGCTGGTTTGCTGTCGGTTTTATGTTCTGCTGGTCGATTTCATTTCATGACGTGGACATGTTGACATATACGTGTGTCAATTTCATGAAATATGCTCTTTGATCGCATGTATACTTCACAGGGTCGTGGACCACCACTTAGGGTATTTTGAAAATGCCAAAACAAGACGCCTACGTTGTTTTCAACTTTTGAGCATATGAAAAAGGTTATCAAGATATAACATTAATTTTAATGGATCATCAGATGCATGCATGCAGGAATGGTTGATATATCATTATCTAATGTGTTTATAGATAGGCACACGGTAAATGGCTTCAATATTTGCAAGATTCACGATGTTTTTCGGGTCGGTTGCTATTTCAGATACACACAGTACAGTGTTTAGATCGCGGTAATGCATTTGGTCCAGAACAGACGAATGATGAAATTATTTTGGAACTGTTTGTAACTTATATTTAAGAAATACAAAAATGTTTACCTGATAAAATGTACAGATGTATAATGTTTAGCTCGTTAAAGATAAACAAATCATTTTGCAACACGCACCTGTACGGAATGTTCTCTTTTTAAGAAAATAGGATGTCAATAAAACGTTTAATCATTTCCTTCCGGAATCACGAATCACAGACAAACGTCATTCTAATAGACTGGTTAAAGTTAACACGAATGATTCTGTCGCTCTATTAGATGATAAATAATAAAAAAAGATTGGAAAGGTTTAAAATTGTCGTGTCTCAGTATTAAACAATGACAGTTCCCGTAATGATTGAACACAAGTAAACAAAGTATCGATAAAGAAATCAATATACTTACAGCCAGCGCACGCCCTCTGACAGTCTTATAACGATTACTATGGATATTACTCCAACAAAGAAATGAAAAAGCGTGTCCTTGTTCATTGCTTGAAGCTCTCAGCCGTTCCCTAGATGTTGATTTCGGGCGTCAGATGAGTGACACAAGGTGAAATTGACAAGCGATCAGCTGATAATCCGAACTTGTTGATCCTGTTTGAAACATCCAACTGAAAATACACTGACTACTATTCCTCATTTCTTGGCTATCACATACTAAAAGAGGATGTGTTAAACAACGGTGAAATCCTCCTCGCTACCTTCCGTGCTGTCACCAACTTTATCCCACGAAACTAAGCAACATAACTGCTATAGTCTCCATGAAAATATGATACTCCGTAAGAATGAACAAGTTTTACCCCTCTGCTTAAACTGTTACCACGTGTACCGAGGGAGACCAGTGTTCTGACTAGATTTCAGCGAGCTACCCTAAGTGCTGTAGCCCTCCTACCAAGCTCCGCCCACTTTCAGTCGGAGGCACGCTCAGTGGTATTGCACGTGGGGTAGCGGCGCGTGCGCAAATTGTCGCGCCGTCAATCTAGCGCTATTGTCTCGGTTACAGTGGCTGGTCGCGGTGATTCCCTCAACTCTTCTTGACACTTGGGGAGGAAAAGTTGTAAGATATTCGTCCCCGTCTGTGGCACGATCCGCTTAAAGTCTAACTGCATACACGAACTTGACAACCAGCAAAGCATGTCGCTTGTTTAAACCCTGGCAGTTAGCGCTACACTATGAAGTATTATACTAAAGTCTATTGTCCGAGTTTAGCCCTGGCTGCTCCCAGAGTTGAACTACCCTCTTCAAACCCATTTTGTCATGTCTCCGATATCAATAAAACACAACATAATGGAGGTAGAACATTGAGCCAAGCTTTATCACATATGTTGAAACTCTCGTCTTAAAACACAACGGTAGGAGAAAAATTGGACTCATTCAACTCGTCCAGGTCGCAATCTCGGAACTTGTAAACAAGACATTATAGTAAACGTTAAATCAATAGTGTGTATATGCGGCCGATGGGAGTATATCCATAGATCATGTACCGGTATATGGTCCCTGGTGTATTCCTGTATAGAGGTGGAACTACAGTTATTATCGACGTCAAACGTCACGATATATCAGCTCGAACTTTGAACGCAGCAGGTGTACTTTCGGGTAGCTATTTTCAGTATATGCAATTGACAATTATTATTTATTGACAGACAGACAGTTATCCATTGTCAGTGAACTAGGGTTTGCCGATAGATTATACATATCAAATGTCAAGGTCATCTAAGGTTAACACCAATGCTATTTTGAGTTTTAAAAATCAGCTGTGTTTTAATTTTTTTTTATTTAGATAACACGTTAATTTTAAAGCATCTTAAAACTCATGAAAACATGATTTACCAAAATTCAACTTTCCGTCTGTTTTTTTCCTTGTATGCAATCTCTTGACTGAACATTGTAAACAATTACAACTCCGTTACCATGTCGACAATGACAAAGCTTAGAATGGTGATCATGGTGATAATAAGGATCATGATAATAAATATACATGTCAAACATTCACAATCTGCACTTTCTTAATGCGAGGACGTGGCTAGAGGCTGCATCCAGGGATCTCCAACAGTGAAGCCACGACGACAGTTCACCGACTAAACACGACGACGTCCACGGTGGTTAGTTGACAAATTATTACAAGCTGGAGTTGTTGACTTGAACATGTCACCATATCCTACTGTACAGGGAAGTGGACAATAAATACAGATACTTATTGTAGTATTTGTCAGTCAAACTTGTGTGTTCAATCTGCAGTGCTACAGAACTCTTGCTAAGTTTTGAAGTGGTCTACTTGTATTTTAATAACGTGTCAAGTAAAATCTTGACTATAGTGTCTCACAATAATAAAATATATCTCTTCCTGTATGGAACTATACAAGTAGGCCTGAACCTCACCGTTCTCTCAATAGCTAGGTCGACATGGAGGGCTTGGAGGCACACACACTCCTCAGATGCTGAGGTGAGGGGTTCGCCTGACAGGGTCTGTTGGTCCAACATACAAATAAATACAAATCAATGATGGTGGATGTTATTAATTGTTGTTTCCAAATTGTTCATAATTTGTGCAACGTGTGTGTTTGTGATCCAAACGAATTGACGTTTAATCAGGAGAGGACAATATTTCATTGTACAGGTTGATCATACCATCATAACGTCGGCATACGTGCTGTTGATGAGGAGCACTGGTAGAGGAAAGGTGAACGGACATTAACAAGTCAGTAACTTTGATAATTTATGAAAATGTAATCTTCTGATAGAAATATAATTATGTCTTAAATTATTAGTTGCTGTTTACACATTCAAATCCAAGTTTCAACTACAGGTCTGCACTTCACAGGATATGTTGTCTAAAGCAAAGCTACTCGTTACTGATTCGTTAACATAATATTTCAACACAATTCATGTAAAACAAGTCAAATGTGGCCCATAACCTAACTTGTTATCAATTTGTCAGCCAGAGGCTGGGATTACAATTATATGGCCTTTAATCCCAACCCGGTCGCTGATGGATAGGGGTGTTCCCCCATCTCATCCTACTCGTGGCATGCTCACCTCGGGGGGGTTGGGGATGCCAATACATAGCATCCATCACCCTGCTCCAAGTTATTAACAGTATGGTGTTGGTGACATTTATTGCATCTACATGGTGTCGTACATTTATTGTCAAAGTATGTTCAGATATTATCGAAACAAGAACATCATGCACGCACTGTAACAGATGTGAATCCGAACATCTGTTACATCATTCTGTTAAGCTGTTTCTTCCGTATATGTGCAACATCAAGACAGGTGAAAAGTGGGGTTCTTTCGATGTAAATACAACATAAAACAACCTCTTTATTTACTTATTTCTTTTGGCAAATATATACACATTCTGTTAGGTTGTTTCTTCCGTATATGTGTAACATCAAAACAGGTGAAAACGTATTTTCTGTACGATGTAAACCGTAAACACACCATAAAACAACCTCTTATTTACTGATTTCCTTTGGAAAATATAATTGAATAAATATGCTGTTAAATGTGTTCTAATTTAGAAAGGAACGATGATGTAACATTAAAGGTACTGTATATCTCGATATCGATACTTATTACTGGAAGTATATCTCAATGGTATAATGTATGCACATAGCAATGTCTGTGTTGATGTAGGAATGTATTTCACTATAGGTGTATGTACTCTGACAACACAGTGCACTAAACCGGCAAGTCTTTGTCAAGTACATTTCACCATACATGATGGTAATCCCTGAACCCCGTTGTAGATTAATGTTGTCAGTGATCGGGCATGTATACAGGGGCAACTAGTACCTCAACAGTAAATAAGGTGTACATGTCACTACGACCAAGATCCATGTGCATTACCCAGTCACACACGCTGATATCTGTTTCAGTCTTATGAAGCTATGGATATATCCTAATCGATTACAAAACAGTTTTATAACTTATATATTGCTTTATCAAAACGTCTGCTTTTTGAACAATTTATATAAACGAAACATTCGATAATTCTTTGGTGGCTGCAAATATTTTTTGAAAATCATTTAGCTGGTTTATTGGGCTTCAGTGACCATGAACTTTAATGCTCGAATACCGGTGAGTCATAGTTACCCAAATGGCCTGAATTATTTTCCACATGATGCTTTTGAAGATAACATAACTATATCAATCTCTTCACACTTACGTTGATTTTAAGCGCACAGTGAACTGACATCATTTGTACTTCTGTGAATAAATGGTAAAGTGTACAGTGTATATTAATTCACCAGTCCCCATTAATAATAATTACTAGCAAGGTTTATTTACACAGTAATATCAAACCGTTGTGAAAGCTCAACACAAAGGGATATTTTTCACAAAGCAGAAAAACACGAAACGCGCGGTTCAAATGGCAAAAGTCATTTGCAACGGGATAAACAAAAACGCTTATTGAGCACTTTTAAGTGACACATCTCGTTAATGCATATAATATTAAATGAAAGTTAAGTCACTTATTTTCGAATAAAAGTGAACACATTGGGTTAAACAAGACGAAAAAATGTATTACAAGAGTCATACTTGGAAGATTATCATTATGATAAAACATTGAAACCGACTATCAGAAATATAGACGGATTGGTGAAATGTGTAACATATACGAAGGCAATGACAGTGAAACCGACACACAAAAAACTGTACTGAGTTTGCTCAATCATTCAGTAATCTGTGGTCGACGGCTTAACCGTACTGGGGGATTATCGATGTTGACACGACGCCGGAGCAGATAGCGATGTCACAAATATGAAGTGTAGTAATCTCGCCCTCTCCCCAGTCACAGAGAACATGGCTGTCATCTCAGTACTGCTGACTCGACTGACGGCTAGGGGACGAGCTGAGATAGAAAGACGACGAGTTGTAGAGCTTGATAGTAGATATGGTACGTTGACAGGTGACTTGTACTTCCTCATCAGCTGAGAGACTTGTGAAATGTACATGATCTGGTTGTGTAGGCGCAGTGAGAGACACTCGCTGACAAGTGTAACGTGGCATTGACACATTTAAAACAGAACTTCTTATCAAACAAGGAGATCTTTAAAAGCCTGTTCAATAAATTTCAGAGAAAAAACATACATCCGGACCGATTCATTTTGCTGCATGTGATAAAACTAGATTTATACATGTACACGGCAATTGTCAGTAATGCATACTTCAATGCAATGTGATGTGTATGCATGTAGTAGTATGTATATACAGGATGGATGCATATCTGAACACGAGGGGTTACGAACCTAGATTGTTGAGTTGATATAGTTATAAATGTGCTTCCACTTCTAAGAAAGATGAAAGATAGCTTTGGATCGTAGTATACCACGCAATGTGAGTTAGAAATGGGGACATTAACGCACATCAAAGGGTTGCGCTTCAATATTCACCCATATCGGTTTGGATTAAAGGGGTATCTGTTCTGTTGTATGAGGGTCCAGGTTATCCAAGTCCGGATTGAATGGACATTGAGACATAGAACTTAAATACCAGTCTGACCAGATTACTGTGTTTTTCAATTCCTTGTACACAATTTCTGTTGACCAGGAGCGTTCATAAAGACAGTTTGTGTTCGGGAAAATGTTACCGCAGTGAAGTTTTGACGGTTAAACAGCAGCAATTCCCATACAAAGCTTTGAAGCTTGTACTTTCCCTACACTATTTCACGGCTCGAAGTACGCCATAAAATCTGTAGTCGCCGACTCTTCTGTCTGCAATGGTAAAGGCCGTATTTCATAGCTTTGGTTGGAGTATAATCGAAAAATAATGTCTCGTGAGAGTCGGTATAGTAGATACGCACATGGCGACCGAAGCGTGTATAACTCTGTTGCTTATATAAGTGGAGTTTGGTGGCTCAAAGTACACAGATTAAGGTAGTTCCTGGATAATCACATGCCCCTGTGAGTCAGTGGGTAACAGGC